GGCATGCGAATTTTGTGAAAATAAAAAAAATACTAAGCATGTTAAAATGTTAATCTACAATGGAATTAAAATGGAAAATGTTCTTCAGAAGCTAGTTAGTTACATTGTTTTCTTGAAGGCGACATGTGGATAATGAAATTGCTTCTCAAATTGAATGCAGCCTACGTAACCGCAGAACTCCACAGGCAAACACCGATGGCCTACCAACTGTCATTTTGACGAGCAATGTGATTGCAAGTTTTTGTGTGTGGGCACTTTGATGTCTTGAAATAAGCATTTGCCGCATGACGCCACCAGACAACATTCTCTCAATTTCGTTGTTTAAAAACATTTAAATCTTTAAAAAACTTGCTGAATAATTTCCTAAAACGTAATCATAAATAATCCAATAAGGAACAGACTTTTATTTTGATTTAATATAAAAATTTCATCGATGTTACCACCAGCACGCTTTCTTTCAAATGAAAATATGGCTGTCAAACTATCGAATTGCCTGCAATAGATGTCAAGCAATAAGCGCTGACATATATTGCAGCACATGAGAAATAGGCGGTCTCCATTGGAAATATATTTTGTGACATAGTTTTCACGACATGGGTGTTTTCCTGTGGAGACAGGGCCTAATGGCTTTCAATTTTGATGATTTTTGACAAGCAATGTGTGTGAGGATATTGAAAGGCAAAACTTATTGTGTGTCGTCAGCGTTAGAAGAAACTAATTTAATAATAGCTAATTTTTGCGGTGGACAACATATTTACCTCTTTTATTTCAAAGAAAAAGTCAGTTGGTTGCTTTTTCAAATATGGCGATGTATGAATTTCAATTTTCGTTATTGCTCAGATCGAAGACAAATTTCCTTGTAATTTTTTAAATGTTTTTTTTTACACTAAATAAATGATTATTGAGGATTAGGTATGGTAGCACGAAATGTCACAATCTGTTTAATTGTCAGATAGTTAATATGGCGCATGAAAAGTGACAATGAAACTACCTTCTTTTTTGTATCATGGGTAGTTCCATTTAATGACATTCGTTGTTGTTGTTAACCATTTGACTTTTAATAAAATTATGACATTTCATCAAATTCATGCTACCTGATCACTAGAAGAAATATTTTTTTTAAGCAGAAGATTTTATCAGTACATTCAAAGATGTTAAATATGATGCACTTGAAAATTATGCCGGCTACATAATTTCGAAAATGGGGTTGACGACTGGGTTTCAGATTATCATTGTTGTAAAGGAACATACTTGTAGAGTTTACATATTTTTGAATTTAGCGATGCAACCGTGCGTGGTGCATAATTCAAAGTTTGTTAAGTCCGGCAACGCTGCCGATTGTATTCGTGTTTGTCAAATGTTCGTATCTGTCAAATGTAAAGCGCCATAATTTTATTCCGAAGACAAAAAGGCGCGAGGACATACAAAGTGTAAGGCGATTAGATTTTAAGATTGTACTGAGTTAACATTGTCAAATTTTATAAAATCCTAACTTGCAGGAAAATAAAACAACCAACAAGCAATCGCAATCAATCATCAACGATAGCAATAGCTGTGCAACTACTACAGCAACCACTAATAATATTGAGTTTTATTTTGGCCCTCGCGCCCGTCTGCGGAACATCTTTTATTTTCACTTTTGCGAGAGTGACTTGCACGGTTTATTCGACGTTTTCCTGCCAATTGTCACCGGAACGAATAATTGAAGCAGTAGTGAACCGCCCAGCTTGATTTGATCGCCTTGCTGCAAGTTGCCGTGACCAGCACACATGCAGTGAACTGCATACTCTAAGCGGAGCCCTACATCCAAGAATTGTGGAGTACTGACTCACTATAAGTGCCGGTAAGTGTTATTTGGGGGATTAGGCTTAAGGTCAATCGGGAGCGTCAAAACGTGGTTTTAGTAGCCAATAAATGCCAACAACGCGGTCGGCATCTAAAATGGCGGAAAGTGAGAATGAAGATCTCGAAACTACTGTGAGAGAGCATACGATTGGCGCCCAATAAGAAAGTACCGCTAGCGTACCGGCACAGTTAGCAGCTATGATGCAAGAAATACAAAATTTAAAGGTAGCCTTAAATCAGCAGCAACGTAATGTACGAGCGTCGACTGAAACGAACTCTGAGGGGGAAGATAGGGTAGGCAACACGTTAGCAGAGGCGGTCAGTGAGCTGAGCCGCGCTTTAACACAAACGCCTGCACAGCCTGTGATCAAGCTGTACGACTTGCCCGAGTTCAGCGGTCGACCTGAAGATTGGCCGATGTTTCGAGAAGCATTTACGGCCACGACAGCGGAGTATCGTTACACTGAGCGGCAAAATACGTTGCGGTTGCAGAAGGCATTGAAAGGTCAGGCTAGGGAAACGGTAGAGTGTTTACTTATACACAGCGGAAATGTAAACCGGGTTTTAGAAACATTAAAAGAGCGATTTGGTAGACCTGAGATTTTGGTTAAAAGTCAGATTTCGCGTATCCGTAACGTTGCCAATATCCCTGAGAATAGAATAGACTTAATCATTCCGTTTGCCACAAAGGTGCAAAATTTGGCCTCATTTTTGGGCGCAGCAGAATGCGATCACCATTTAAGTAATCCGATCCTAATGGAAGAGCTCGTGTCTAAGCTGCCAGTGCAGCGAAGATTAATGTGGGCACGTCATGCTGTAAACATACAGCCGCGACCGACTATCCAGCATCTCAGCGAGTGGCTACAAGAGGAAGCCCGCATTATGAATACGATTTGCACCCTCGTGGGTGAACCGCAGCGGCAATCGGATCAGCGATCCGAAAGACGTGCACGGTTTCTTCACGCGGTAGAGTCACAAGAGTTACATAGAGGCGGGTGTAAAATGTGATCAGGTGGTCACGATCTCGAACATTGTGGTCGATTCTTAGGCCTTTCTCATAAAGATAAGTGGCAATATATACGCGAAAAGCGACTTTGTTTTAACTGTTTAAAGTCTGGCCATCGAAGCACTTCATGCGCACGTATACACAGAACTAACATTGCAGTGGTTCGGTACGGTGAATATGGAGATATCGGGCGTGGGTAGGCAACGCAAAAGGTTTCCGCTCCGCAACGTCAAGATGGTTAAGGATCTGCAGTTGCCGCGACAGACGCTTAGTATATCTCAGCTCCACATAGGCCAACGACATTTAAAGAGACTGCCATTAGTGGGTTACTCAGATGCTACTCCAGACTTGTTGATTGGGTTGGACAACGTGCATTTGGGTATCGCGAAACGTATTGCCGACGATGGTCGTCGGGGTCCGGCTGCAGTATTGACCAAGCTTGGATGGGTGATTTACGGTTCCCTAGGGAACAGAAGCGACACAAATCAGCGCGTATTTTTGGTGCGAGAGAACTCCGAAGATACGGCGTCGGGAGTTGAAAACATTGAAGAGCTGGTCAAAAACTTCGTGGTGAGTGACGACTTAGGCGTTTCTACTGCTGTCAAACATATTGAACCAGAGGATGAAGTGAAAGCACGTGCCATACTGGAACAAACAACAGTCGCGTGGGCGAGAACTATGAGACGGGACTGTTGTGAAAGAACGACGAAGATTTAATAGGAAATAGCCGAGGAGTGGCGGAGAAGAAGCTTCTGGCCCTAGAGCGGAAATTGGCAAGCAATGAGCAATTAAGACGCGAATACATTAGGATGATGAGAAGCTAATAAGCAAAAGGCTACTCAAGGAGGCTCGCAGCAGACGAAGTCTCCGCACAACATCCACGTACATGGTATTTGCCCCACTTTGGGGTTTTTAATCCGAACAAACCAGGAAAGGTACGTCTCGTGTTCGACGCAGCAGCGCAAGTTTCTGGGAGATATTTAAACTCTTATTTGTTGAGCGGTCCAGACTTGGGCAGGCCGTTGCTCGAAGTTTTGATGAAGTTCCGTCAGAGGCCGACAGCTGTCAGCGCCGACGTTGAAGAAATGTTCCACCAGATCGTCGTACGAGTGGAAGACCAAACAGCGCAGAGATTCTTGTGGAGGGAGAAACCCGCTGATGAAATACAGGAATACTCCATGCGAGTGATGACCAGTATGTTGGAACGATGAAAGACTTCGACAAACCTGAGGCAGGTCATCAGAAGGTTCTCGGAATGCAATGGGACACGAGGAGCGATGAGCTAAGGTTCGTTTTGGCCTTCGGTTGCGTTGACCCGGAGCTGTTACAAGGTCAGCGTACTCCAACTAGGCGTGAACTATTGGGCGTAATGGTGTCCGTCTTCGATCCCTTCGGCGTTGCCGCGGAACATGTGATCAAGGCCAAGTTGTTGCTGCAGATGGTATGAAGAGCTGGAACCGGTTGGGATGACGAAATCTCGGAGGAGGCGAAAACTGTTTGGAATTTATTGTTAAATACGTTGAGCTACATCGAAGGTATCAGAGTGCTTCGTTGCTACAGTGCGTCATTTACAACGGGAGTTGTGGAACTCCACGTCTTTGCTGACGCAAGCGAGGCGGCTTTCGCTGCGGTAGCGTACTGGCGCATCAAAACTGACCGCAGCGTAGAAGTAGCACTAGTGGCAGGGAAAACCAAATGCGCACCCCTAAAACTTACAACGATTCCGAGACTGGATTTGCAAGCGGCAGTACTAGCCTCTCGTCTGAAGATAATGGTGTCAAAAAACCACGATGTCAAACCGTCACGCGTCGTCATGTGGACGGATTCGAAGACTGTTCACGCCTGGATAGCTTTAGACGGGTGAATGAGATCCTGGACGGGACGAATCCAAGCGACTGGAGGTGGGTACCGGGAGCTTTAAATCCGGCGGACTTCGGTACCAGACTCCGAAGTAATGCGCGTGAGTCATCCTGGATTGGTGGTCCAGGATTCTTGAAGGAGGATGAATCTTACTGGCCCAAAATTAACGGCATCGAAAGTACGCGCGAAGAACTACCGAACTAAACACCAGCTATTTTTTACTAGAATAAATGATAACCTTTTGCTCAAATATTCAAACTTTATGCGGTTGATACGAGTGGTTGCCTACATGCGAAGGTTCGTGAATAATTGCTGCAAGGCGCCAGGAAATAGACTATTTGGAACGCTCAACGTTCAGGAGCTCAGAGAAGCGGAGCTACTAGTCATCCGCAGCACGCAGCAAAGCACTTATGTCGAAGAGTACGCTCTCCTGAATGATGGTAACCAAATATGCTCGAGCAGCAGAATTTTCAAACTGAACCCCGTGGTAGATGATGCAGGGATTATGCGACTGAATGGCCGCCTGCAGAATGCTGACGCAGTACACCCGTATACACGTCGACCCGCCGTGATGCCACAAGGACACCATGTCACCAATACTCTTGTCGACTTGTACCACCGTGTATGGAAGCACCAGAGTGAGAACACCATCGTGTCGGAGTTACGACGCAAATATTGGATCCCCCATATCCGCGAAGAAGTACGAAAAGCAGCCAAGAGGTGCCTTGAGTGCAAAAGAAGACGTGCGAGGCCAGATGTGCCACAAATGGGACAACTGCCAGCTGATCGCCTTACGCCATTTGTACGACCGTTCACGTATGTAGGTCTTGACTACATGGATCCATTTCTGATCGTGTCCGGGAGGCGTACAGAAAAGCGGTGGATCGCGTTATTTACGTGTTTGACGACACGCGTCATACACCATGAGATAGCTATCGATTTAACTACAGATACTTGTTTACTCTGCATCAAGAATTTTATGTGCCGACGTGGAACGCCGGTGCGGATCAGGTCAGATAATGGCACCAACTTCATAGGAGCAGATCGGGAAATGCAGCGTCAACTCAAAGACTTCGAAGAGGGAACGATCCCCGATGCATTGGCAAATCAAAACATAGAATGGGTGTTCAACTGTCCGTTGAGCCCACAAGCCGGCGGATGTTGGGAGCGCTTGGTACGTAGTGTAAAGCGTGCCATGAAACATGCATTGAATAGCGAAAGGTTGAAAGAGCAGACGCTGTACAGCGTCATGTGTGAAGCCGAAAACGTTGTGAACTCGCGACCGCTTATGCATATCCCACTTGACGCTCCTGATGAAGAACCTTTAACCCCTAATCATTTCCTCCTAGGCACAGCAAACTCAGAGCAGACTCCACATCCGCAAGAAGAATCCTTTAAGGCGACGCGAACGCAGTGGCGAAAAATGCAGCAGATTCAACATCGCTTCTGGAAGCGGTGGCTGGCGGAATATCTTCCGGACTTGTGCCGCCGAACGAAGTGGTGGAAACCCGTGGAGCCGTTGTCTTTGGGAGATTTGGTCTTGGTTTGCGATGATCGCATGCATCGATCCAGGTGGCTGATCGTTCGAGTCGTTAGCGTCAAACCGGGCAAGGATGGGCAGGTGCGTGTGGCAGAAGTGAAGACGGCTGGAGGACATTCCGGAGACCTGCTTGTATGTTGGCGAAGCTAGACGTTGGTGAATCTAGCAGCGGGTAGATTCACGGGACCCGGGATGTTGTAAAGGAACATACTTGTAGAGTTTAGATATTTTTGAATTTAGCGATGCAACCCTGCGTGGTGCATAAATCAAAGTTTGTTAAGTCCGGCAACGCTGCCGATTGTATTCGTGTTTGTCAAATGTTCGTATCTGTCAAATGTAAAGCGCCATAATTTTATTCCGAAGACAAAAAGGCGCGAGGACACACAAAGTGTAAGGCGATTAGATTTTAAGATTGTACTGAGTTAACATTGTCAAAATTTATAAAATCCTAACTTGCAGGAAAATAAAACAACCAACAAGCAACCGCAATCAATCATCAACGATAGCAATAGCTGTGCAACTACTACAGCAACCACTAATAATATTGAGTTTTATTTTGGCCCTCGCGCCCGTCTGCGGAACAATCATTATATATATTATATTATACATACATATCGTCGTTTAAAGTACAAAACCGCGTATCGTCGTTCTGCAAAACCGCGTAACTGACATTTTTTGCCAAAAATGACTGAAATGACTCACTTATATATACACGAGTCTGGATAGTCCAATCGACGTGTTTGAGATATCGTTGGAAAGGTCTTGCAGAGTGTGTCCAGAAAATGTATTCAAGCTTAATAAACGATTAACCGGATTCTTAAAAATTAGGCTAAAGTGTTGCGAAACAAAAAACCTTTTTTTGATTTTGCCGGTTTAAGGGGGCATGTGGGTACACCCAACATATTTAGTATTATTCTATAGGCCAATACCTTTCAAACGATACCTTATATATTAAGTTCCGGCCACTAGTTGGAAAGATATAGAGGTAAATGTGTTTTGGTTCGTGTCTCCACTACGAGATGCTTTGGTATGTATGTGGCGTCTGTACGTACCTTCATTTAATTTCTTTCAAACTTTCAGGAATTAAAGTACAAAAAAAAAAAACTAAGAAGGTTTTGTTCCAGGTTGTTTTGATTCGTATGCCTTTGAGGGCGTGGCTGCTGCCTAAAATTCGAAAAAAAAGGCAATTTTTAAACTACCACTGTGTTTATAAAATATAAATATGTCATAACGCCTGAAAACTAAAAATCGGGCTGCTGAAAATATACATTTCGGGCATTTTCTCAAAAACTAGTCAGTCGATTTTATTCTAGGTTTCCACAAATCTAACCCAAAATCTTAGCTTTCATCTGGTATACAGTTTATATCTGGGAAACCTCTTTTTGTGGAGATATTGCGATTCAAATTGAAAAAATGTCGCTCCAAAAAGGGTCAAATGGTTAAAAATTAACATATCCGTCTAATTTGGTTACTTTTAGATATAAAAATAACATACCCAGTTCCCCGAAAAAAAATGCCCATTCCCCGATTGCCACTTAAAACGAAATTATCTGCAAATCGGGGAATTTCCCGCGAGTTGACAAGTTGAAGGATGCAGCTGTGCTTATCACTTCGTACATGTCTTGGAAACAATAATTTGTGTGTATTTTAGAGTTTTTTTCAGGCACATGCCGAAATTGTAACATTTTTCCCCATTTTAATTGCAGGTATGTACTAGAGATGGGCACGGGACTAAATATTTAATCCCGATCCCGCTCATACCGAATTAGATTTTTAAGTCCCGAACCCGCCCATCCCGACGTTTTACAGAATAGTACCGCGGGTCCCGTAGGTCCCGATATCTATCTCTAAAGCAAGCTACAAACGGACAACAAATTGAAACGATCGGTTGAGATTTCAACGTGTGTGGCGAGGTTTGCAAACCGATCGAAGGTTGACAAAAATGTTCAGGTCTTTCAAATTAATTTTAAATAATAAATAAAGATCTGGCATCCTCCTATTACAGTAAAACCCGCTTAAGTACCTCACGAAAAATTTCAGCTTTTTGAGGTACTTAGGCGGGTTGGGTACTTAACAGAACCCGCTTAAGTATCTCGATGCGGGTACTTAAGCGAGCATAATTATTGATGTAGTTACATCTTTTTGTTAACTTACATAAATATGTAAATCCTTGAATAAAACATAAACATTTAATGAAGTATACGTATTTATTTAAGATTTTTCAATTAAAATACAGTTCATTTCCTAACAAATACCATGAAAACCTAAGCTTAAGATTTTATAGAACACGTAAAGAAAAAAATTCATCAAAATTTAAACTTTTTTTCCTCAGATGTGTTTTTCGAGTATATAGTTTTATAGCCCATTCAATTTTAATGTAATATTGTGCAAGTTTCAAGGGGCTCAAAATTATCGTTGATCTTTTATAATTTTTTTGCCGAAGGTGTGTAACGCTGCCGCTGAGATTCAAAATATGTAAATATTTTAAGGAATTTTAAAAGAGCACTTAAAAGGGGAAAATTATAGGTAAACTGGTAAATGGGGTACGAAAAATTGAGGTACTTAGGCGGGTTGGGTAAATAAGCGGGGAGGTACTTCAGATCACATTCAAAAATTCACATTGCCCAAAAATGTTGGTTGCTTAAGCGGGTTAGGTACTTAAGCGGGTGGGTACTTAAGCGGGTTTCACTGTATATTTTATTTTTCGTCTCAATAAAACATTAAAAGTGCATATTTCAAACATCGTTTTTAAGGAAGGTTACGGTTTTATCGGGAGTGTCGGGAAAGGATTTTGGTCCTGTTTAGGCGCGTCTGCTAACACCAGGCGCCTAAATACATGCTATGTACTGCTGCATGTGCAAAAATTTCCTTTATGTAATTTAGGAAATTTTTGCACATGCACTTCTCAACTGCCATGTAATTGAA